ATGTAGATCTTGAAAAAGAGCATAATTCTTGATCAGTAAGTTGATCATAGAGATCTTAAGAAACCTCATGTTCATTTCTTGGTCGACCTGTTCATTTTATAGATCATATGACATTTCTTGGTCAGCAGCTTAATTATGGAGATCATAAAACACGTATGTACTTTTGATAAGAAGGTTGATTATGGAGACTTTAAGACGTGAACTATTCTTGATTAGCAGTTTGATAATAGAGTTCTTATAACATGTATATTTCTTACTTAGCAGATTGAAGAGCTATTAAGATCAAGCGTATATTTCTTACTTAGCAGATTGAAGAGCTATTAAGATCAAGCGTATATTTCTTGATTAGCAGGTTAATAGCCGGAGTTCATAAAACGTGTATATATTTCTTGATCAGAAACTTGATTATGGAGATTTTATAACATGCATATTTCTTAGTCAGCAAATTGATTAAAGATCTCATAAGATCATGAGTATGTTTTTTGCGTTTCTAGGATGACCAGCAGGATGATAAGAGAGACTTTAAAACTTGTGTATTTTTCGTGATCAGCAAGTTGATTATAAAGATCTTAAAACGTGGATATTTGTTAATCGGCAAATTGATTAAGGAGCTTTAAAGATCATGCGTATGTATCTTGATCAGTAGAATGGTAAGAGAGACCTTGAAACCTGTGAATATTTCTCGATAAGCAAGTTGATTGTGGAGAGCCTAAAACGTGGGTATTTGTTATTCTGCAAATTGATTAAGGGGCTTTTAAAACCATGCGTATGTTTCTTGATCAGCAGGATGAGAAGAGAAACTTTAAAACATGTATATATTCCTTGATCAGCAAGTTGATTATGGATATCTTAAAACGTGTATGTTTCCTAGTCGGCAGATTGATTAAGGATCATGCGTATATTTTTTGATCGGCAGAATGATAGAAGAGACCTTAAAACCCGTATACGTTTCTTGATCAACAATTTGATTATGGAGATCTTAATTTATTATTGGTAGATTAATTAAGGATCTCTTAAGACCATACGTATGTTTCTTGACCAGCAAGATGATAAGAGAGATTTTTAATACATGCATATTTCTTGATCAGTAAGTTAATTGTTGAAGTCTTTTCAGCAAGTTGATTACAGATGATTAAAATACATGAATTATATCAGATGTATAAGAGATACGTCTATTTCTTATTACCAAGTTAATTTTGTACAATTCAAGCATATATTCTTGATTAGCAGGTTAATTATATTATATTCTCATATTTCATAAGGGAATAGAGTAGGAGAAGAAAGCATTAAATGTGGGAGCAAAATATAAGTAGGCAGCAAAAAATATTTAACTGAGTGCTCGAGTGCAAAGAGCAAAATCTTTTGTAACATAAAACTATGTCTTATTAAATAGTTTTATAGATTTTTTGTAGTGTCGCAACTGCTTCATCTATCTCAGTGAAAAGAAAAATTGCAGTCTTGTCTATCCCTTTTAATTGCAGAATATTAAATAATTAAAATAAATTTAAATTTAGAATATCTATTTATACTTGAGTTTACAGTTATTTAACTAACAAATTTATCTCCGGCTTCTTGCGTGAGAGACAAACAACAGCGCTCCAAAAGGTTTACAAACCAAATTTAAAATTTAGCTCCTAGCAACTGGGCTGTGCTACATTGAAACTACTTAATTAAAACTTAATAAAAGGCAAACTGAACTCGTAGCAGAATATATAGGCATTCGCGCAAACCTCAAATAGCGTCTTTGCTTTTCCAACAGACCATTATGGAGGAACGTACATCTACATTAAAAAGAACGTGTTGATTAAAATAAATATTTCAGTGCTGTTATTATATATTACTAATGTTAAGGTATTGTAATAGTGTAGTCATAGCTGTAAATATTGCTATAAAATTTCCAACCATTCAATGAGTACAAAACTTCTCTTCATAATTCACACTGAGGTTTTTCTTAAAAATATGGAAGAAGGATAGCTACAATAATTTATACTTCCATATACGAAGTAAAGGAAGTATTGTCACCGCGAAAATTTTTGGGTATCATATTTAAAAAAAAATATTTATTTTGACCGCTATGCAATTTAACCATGTTTTTGAGTGATATATATATAATAGAAGAGGACAGAATAAATGACTCTTTTTCCCAAATCCGGCTACAGAAAAAAAAAAAAAAAAAAAAAAAAAAAAAAAAAAAAAAATTAAAATGGATTCAGACATCTACACGTACGTATGTACGTATATATCTCGCATAAGTCTAAAACGAGTAGCCTCAGAATGTTGAAATTTTGTATATGTGGTTGTTATAATATGTAGATGTGTACCTCCCTTTTCGGTTGTAATCGGCTGCACCAAAAGTATATATATATATGTAGCCACTCTATACTCGACTCCGTGAGGTAAGTGTCTTTTATTTCTTCTTATATGCTGGTAAATTGTGCATTTTTTTCCTTTAAAAATGATTGACTTATGTTGTTCTTATCTTCCGGTTAAGTTTTTTATGATTTTAGTTAATGTGCATGCAATAGAATTATCAACAATTTAAAAGTTGTTTAAGTGCATCTAAGCCTAAATTTTTTACCACTAGCAGCCATATTTGTTTGCATTGGAAACTTAGAAGAATAGTGAATTAAGTCAGTTTCTGCACCTTTAGTGTCTTTTGGGGACCAAAAGTAAATTTTCAGTTTTGTGCACCGAAAAATCTGCCTTCTTACCCGCTGGCCAAATTGAATGTTTTTGCGTAGAAGCTCTAATTGTAAATTTTTTCATTGTTTTAACTGTATTTAGTGTTTTATATTTTTCAATATTCAAAAACGTTATTTTGAGGTTTTATGTATTTTTTGCTTTGCCGCGAAGTGAGAACGGAATTAATTGAATAAAAATATATCTCTAATGAAATTCGTAGAAATAAGTTTAAATGAAATGCAGCAAAAAATGTGTATAATTTAATATTCCATACGAGGAAGTCACGTGGTGTACACATTAGCTTTTTATTAGTGAATTTAAGGCTTTTAAATTTAAGATATTTAAAATATGAAGGGGGAAAACAATGCGCTATTGAGATTAAAATATTTTTCTTTCCTTGAAATGTAATGCACGGAGAAAGAAACAAAATTCAAGAGCTAATCCACACTGCTTTACGTTAGGGAAACATTAGAAGATTATATTTTATTTTAGTTGTCATTCTCGTGATAAAAAACAAATTTAATAGTGAGATAAATTCTGCAAGAGAAGAGGAAGAATAACCTTCTTTCTTTACATTAGCTACATTTCTTTACATAAGTCCCGTGATTTGAAATATCATACACCTTGTTTGCTTACAAGAGGTATACATAAGTCCCGTGATCTCGGGGTTCATCGGAATGTATCTCATTCCGGCAAATTTTCGCAGAGTTTGGGCATTATCAAGCAACTTGTAAATCTTGTAAAGCATCCTTGTATTTTTAAGTTTTGGAGTCCATGACGCTTGTACGCTTTTGTTAACAAGATTAACAAGTTAATAAACTTCTGCGGTTAAAAAGAATTATCTCAAGAAATGAAATATGTATTTTGAGATCTTAATTTCCAGAAATATGTCATTAATCACCATCAAGCTTAGTATCCCATCGCTTCCCCCCGGGGAGGGTCGATGTAGAGAACTGTGCGAAGTTACTGGCAGTGATATGATCATAGGCAGTCTCGGCCACGAGGATATACAAATTACGAACTTAGTGGTTCTAATGGCCTCGGAAAGATGACTCATTGGTCGGCCCGGGGGTCTGGCACTTCCTAGAGCTCAGGGCTCTAGTAGCCCGTGGTGGCGTTCCGGGTACTGCCTGAGCTACTTTAGGTGGTGGAGCCCCGGGTAGGTACGCTGGATAATGGTCCTTGGGCAAAGGACAGCCCGTGTGACTGGCAGGTAGCAAATCATTGACAGCGTTCAATGTCGTATAAGCAATGCGGCTGTCTTTCCAAGATAAGATGGCAGGGTTTGAACTCCTGTGCTTGGTTCGGCGGGGCGAAGGAACTCATAGTGTCATTCAGTTGATTGAATGAGGAATGCCCAGAGTTATCCCACTGCGTTGCTGGCAAATCACTCTGGTTTCAGCAAAAGGTATAGGTGAGAGGACATAGTCCGATTCTATGTGTAATATTTTAGTAAACTGATAGCAATTATGACTAAGTCGGAAAGTTTTGATGAGTTAGGAAGGATGCTGAACTCCGGTCGCAGAACCGCTGTAGAGATCAGCTGTGGAGGGGTAGTAGTGACGTCAAGAGTGGGAAGTTTCTAATAGGCTGAAAGTAAAGAGTTAACAAATAATACCTCTGGATTTTAAGAAGAGGGATAAATGAACTTATTCCGGAGTCATACTTACTTTAGAACAAAATATAAATAGTGAAACTAAATAATAACGAAGAATAAGGTAAAAGAGCAAAATAGCAATGAGCACAAAATAAACGAGTTGAAATTGTCAGCGACTTATATAAGCAATTGATTAAATTAGGTGGCAAAAAATTAAATGTATACAAAAATATTTTTCTAAGTGAAGGAGCACTGATCTAAGGGTGGTTTAAAAGATATGCACTAAAGTAGCTAATGCGTTAGCGGTATAAGTTTTGGTTTATTTTCAAACCGTCCATTGCATTTCCTATGTAGTAATATATTTTCTTTAATCTAAATACATCACAAGAAAAAAAATTCCAATCAATGCTATTTAAATATAGTTAATTCTGTTACAATGTCCAGAAAAGGGGAAGGTTCGAATACCAAGGAAGGTACACTTTTTTTTAACATTCGACTAAAATGTGATATATGATAATTCGTCACCGTTGGATCTCGTCGACTGTGTCTCATGCCTCTCCCTAACTGTCTTTTAAATGGAGAGGAATGTAAGGAATCATTGCACCCTCCCATACCTTGTTTCATGATGTTATGATTGTGACATCCAATTTGGAAAAGGAAAGACTGGAGGTTAAAATCCTGTCAAAAGTATAATTAAGTGTTCATACTTCTTGGCTCAGTTATCAATAAAATTTATTACGTATTTTCAACAAAATCCTACATATTTCTCTCTTCTCAGGTAGAATGTGCTTAGCACAGCTCAGGGTCGAGAAAATAATACATAGTTCGATGTACAAAGTATTCAGTTACAGGATTTTCTTCAGAAGTAGTTTTACAGATAATGTATGTGATGAAAGGTAAACCAGCAGTCATTCTTAGTACAGTTAGTGCAGGTATGGAAATGACTTGTTTGAGATAAAATTCTGCAGACCAGCTGAAGATTTCCAGGCAGGGAGTGAAAACGTTGAGAAAACAATTTTTATCTTCTCCACCAGTCTCCGCCTCCTCCTCCTCCTCCAGTCCTAAAAGGAATAAAATAAGAATGTAATTGTGGTTTATTGTAATTAGCAAATTGTCAGTATGGTGACGGATAGAATATTCATATTCTCGTATCCTTTCGGAGTCTTAAAAACGATTAGACATTCTAAAACCCGAAACTTCACTTTTCATAGCTATTCAAAATTTTTGAACCATAACCTAAAAAACTACTAATTATTTTAACACAAAACTTGGAACATTAACACACAGTAGAAGCGTTTATTGAAAAATAATGCAACTGTTTTAATTTAAAGGGAACTGAATCATTAATATCACTTCCTGGCGTCCTTCAATTACACACATGGTTACCATTTCTTAGTGGGTGTCGTCCTAGAGATTTTATAACTTCATATAACTATTATAACTTCAGAGATATTGAAACTAATTACAAGTTATGCCCTACTTCCTTGCACGAAGGAGGTATTGTAATCACGAAAAATTCCGGGTATCATATTTCAACGAAAACATCCGTTTTGACTGCTCACAAATGCAATTTAACTATATTTTGGCGTACGTACGTATATATCTCGCATAACTCAAAAACGAGTAACCTCAGAGCTTTGAAATTTTGTATATAGGACTGCTATAATATGCGGTTGTGCATCCCCCTTTTCAGTTAAAATCGGCCACACCAAGAGTATATATATATATATATATATATATATATATAATGTTGTATGAACTTAAATCCATTTAGTGCGAATACAAGTTATTATTACTTGCGCAATTGCTGCAAAGTTAGTTAATAATAATTTATTTCCTAAACCGTATTGATTAATTGATTATATTATCTCCTAAGTTTAATTAAAGTAGAATTATTTTAAAAGTGTGCATCCATACTGGTAAGTTATATTTTGAAAGATGTTTTGAAGTAATTTGAAAGCAAAATGTTAATAATGTTTTAACGGGGACTGGAGTTAAATCATCACGAAAGAATAATATTACAATTGTAAAAGTAAAAATTAAAACATGTAATTATTGTCATTGATCGGAAATTAGTTGACTTTTCAAGGGGAACAAACCAACTCCCGTTCAATGATCAATAATTGATAGAAATACGTAAATATGAAAGTGTTTCGTCTTTACTCGAGTTATAAATTAAAGCCAAACCGGCAATTCTAGTCAGGCCAAATATTTCCGCGAATAGTTGTTACTCAAAGAACTGATTCTCATGAAGCATTTTAGTCAATTCAATTTGGAGTAAAAATCAATTACTGTAGAGAAATCTTGTACTCGAGTTTTACAAGATTTCTCTACAGTAATTGATTTTTACTCCAAATTGAATTGACTAAAATGCTTCATGAGAATCAGTTCTTTGAGTAACAACTATTCGCGGAAATATTTGGCCTGACTAGAATTGCCGGTTTGGCTTTAATTTATAACTCGAGTAAAGACGAAACACTTTCATATTTACGTATTTCTATCAATTATTGATCATTGAACGGGAGTTGGTTTGTTCCCCTTGAAAAGTCAACTAATTTCCGATCAATGACAATAATTACATGTTTTAATTTTTACTTTTACAATTGTAATATTATTCTTCGTGATGATTTAACTCCAGTCCCCGTTAAAACATTATTAACATTTTGCTTTCAAATTACTTCAAAACATCATTCAAAATAAAACTTACCAGTATGGATGCACACTTTTAAAATAATTCTACTTTAATTAAACTTAGGAGATAATATAATCAATTAATCAATACGGTTTAGGAAATAAATTATTATATATATATATATATATATATATATATATATGTATGTATGTATGTATGTATATATACTCGGCTCAGTGAGCTCATTTTTTAAAATTCTTATATGTTGATAAATTGCGCATTTTTTTTTTTACTTGAAAATAATTGAATTATGTTATTCTTATCTTTCGGTTAGGGCTTTTATGCCTTTAGTTAATCTGCATGCAGTAGTTGCAGAATTATCAACAATTCAAAAGTTGTTTAAGTGCGGCTAAGACTAATTTTTTATTATCATAGCATCCATATTTGTTTACATTTGAAACTTACCAGAATAGTGAATTCAGTTTCTGCACATCAGCGTCTTTTTGCCGAGTGGGACCAAAATTAGACTTTCATTTTTGTGCAACGAAAAAGCTGCCATGTTGTCTGCTGGCTGAATTGCTTATTTTTAAGTAGAAATTCCAGTTTTAATTGTCAAAATTGTTTTTTTTTTCATTGTTTTAACTGCATTTGGTACTTTATTTTGTAGGGTTTATATTTCTTTTAACTAACTTTTATTTTAAGTTTAAACTATCTTTCCTGTCAAGTCTTACTTTCCCCTGGAATTGCCAATGCCAGAGTATGTAAATTTTAGTAGAACGCGCAAGGATTCAAATTGTCAGCGGAAGTAATCTGAGTTAAATAGAAGGGAAACGAGTTCGAAAGTGTGCTTTCTTGCTTCACGAGCGTGGAGGTGCCTAGTTAGAAATTGAAGAACCACGCGTTTCGGCCTGTGTGCTTACCTCGGCAGATTGTTAATCTTTCAACGTAACATTCAGAAGTTTGCTGAATTATCAGGGGTATTTTAGAACGCGGTGAGGTTAGTTACGTTCAGAGAGCTCGTAGTTAGTCACTTGTTACTATTCTTTTTTTTTGTAGTTTCTTATTTTTATTTTACCGCCGGGTCGGCGTAGTTTGTGAGCGTCAAGAGCACGCATTTGTAATTTCTAAAGTTGAATAAAAAGGGATTTAAACTCTTCTCAAGACTTTGTCTACTTTACAGTTCTTAGCAGTCACCACTATTGTTGCGTGCAGGTTGGAAGCGCGCAACATTAGAATTTTTTTCTCTATATTTTTCAAATTTCAATGAAGATATTTTGAGGTTTTATGTATTCTTCCCTTGCCTGGAACTGAGAACAGAATTAATTGAATGAGAAGTATATCTCTAATGAAATTCGAGAAAATAAGTTTATATGAAATGCAGCAAAAAGTGCGTATAATTTAATATTCTGTGTAACGAAGTCATGTGGTGTACATGTCAGATTTTTTTTAACGTTTCGTGCGTTACCTTTATTTATTAAATATCATGTTCTTCGCACTTAAACGACATAAAATTAAATTCAAACGCAATATCACAAAATATTTAAAATAGCATATCTTAAGAATTTCCGATACACAGTCCTGCGCGCTGAAGATAAAAATGTTTTTTTCGTACACTGTTGCCATAGCTCGCCTTGAAATTATTGAGTTTGCTAATTAAAAATTAGTTAAAGTTTTACAAAATCAGAAACAGATAATAAAACGGATTCGAAATTCAAAATTCGGTCTTCCAGGTTCCCATGTTCGGTTGGAGGACTAGGTGATTAAACATTTGATGGCTCTAGGTAGCGCCGTTTTTTCATAATGCAAGAAACATTCTTGCATTCATGCAGATTCTTCATTATTTAGTTTCTTTAAATATATTACATGGCGATAATATTTGGTGGCAACAGTTTGGAAAGTGAATCAAAGCAGAAAGTGAAACGAAGCAGAATGCCGTTTTCAGACCAATAGCCCTTTCAGTCTAACTCCTCTTTGGACTAATAATAATGCCACATTTTATATATTTCACAGAATTCAATATTTTTAAACTAAAATTATTAATTATTACATTAAATTATTAATAAATATAATAGTAATTAATATTATACTCCTTCTGTCCCATAGTAATAGTAGTAGCAAGTGAATATTTAAACAGGAATTATTTTAGAATCAGCTACGTTGTAGCGTAAATTGTGGAGACTTCAATCGAAATTAATGTTTCGTGACATCTGTCATTTGTTTTGACACATCTTTCACTTTTTAGGCTCACATAATTATCACAAATTATAACTAGTTTTCTAATTTCTTTCGTTGATCGAAATCAGTTGTTTTATTTCAGCTGAATGCCAAATCATTGTAAAAGTAAGACCCCCCCCCCAAAAAAAAAAAAGAGAGAGAGAGAGTTTTCAAGCAAAATTCGTTTTGCAATTGTCCAGTTCTTGATGCACCAAAATAAAACGAAAAGTTGCAGAGAGGTGCATTAGCTGCAAAACAATTTAAGTGTAACGGAATGACCATATAAAGAATTTAGAAACATGCTTCCAAAAATAATTGTCGAGGTGAATCTGATGCTGACGTTGATTCTTTGAAAAAACGAAACTGTGGACGTATATGCAGAGATAATGAAGAAAAACTAAAAAAAACTTAGTCATACTCTTCTTGCAGAAGAGGCATCACAAAGAAGCAGTAAGTATCGTCTTTGATAATATTTCTCCCGAAATACTGGATAATACGTTTCTGAAACTTCAACATGCACATGAACATGTTATTCTGAAAGCAATGAAGAACGATGGCCTCAATAATTTTAACCTCACCCATACAGGGAAAGCAAGCTTCACAGCCAATGCAATAACGAAATTGTTGAAAAATTCAAAAACTATCTGAGCACTCAAAATAAAATTTAGGAGTAGTATTGTTAATTTATTGATTAATTTGCTTTTTATAATAAATGTTGCCTTCTATATTCATTTCCTTTTGTTACTTTTTATGGACTAAATTTAATTCATTAATTGCTACTATTCCTGTGCGACAAAAGAAATATATTTTTAATTCATACTATTAGCTACTATGGCAAGCAACCTCTTCTTTGTCACAATTTTCTCTCGGAAGACATTTCTTCAGTTATAATTCATAAATTATGTTGTTTCGTTTCCGTTAAAACTGGATTCTGTGAAAAGCGATAGATCACCAATAGTTTAAGATAACTCTGGTGTTAACGTTTAGATTGAATGTCAGTTTAAATGATTTTCGCATCGTACAGTACTTTGCACTGGAAATATAATGCCCTATTTTTCATTTATATATACTGCATGTACATGGTACTGTGCATTATACTACACTGCACATGATACTGTACATTATACTACACTGCACATGATAATGTACATTATACATTATACTACACTACACATGATACTGTACATTATACTACACTGCACATGATAATGTACATAATTGTTTTTCTGCTGTCCAGATCAAAAGCATTTTTCAACATGTTCTAACGGTTTATCTTTATTTGGTAATTTATTCCCACCGTTTGCAGTGCTAAACGATTCAATAGCCTCTTTGTCTTGCACAATCGTAAACACCGCCTTTGTCGCCATACAATATGTAATAACCAGGATGACTCTGCTATCTTCATACTTTTCAAAAATTTGTTTTTTTCATCTCCATGGAAATCCTAATAATTTTCATCGCTGTTTGGCGCTTTTCAATAACTTCTCTAAAACTCATTATTAATGAGTTTACGTAATACGCGAAAGCACATAATATCATTCGGAATTTCAGAGTTATAGAGCGGTTTATTTGCTGTATAGAAGCAACAGGTGACCTGAAACTCATGGGCAGCCGTACCATTGTCTCGAAAGAAATAAACAACTGCAGTACGCAAAATCGTGGCTCATCGAACTCAAGTTGTATTAAAAACAAATATATTGTATACCAAGCAATGCGTCCAAACAGGGTTTGTATCAAGTTGGACATATTTCAAAGCAAGCTTATACCGAGGTACCACTATATTTTAAATGGATAAGTTAAAAAGCAGTTTAAAATTTTTAAAATAACTCAAGTATTTATTTTGCTTGGCGATGATTACAATATATCTTTACGAGAGTTAAACTGTTAGTTTATAGAGTAATGTGTTCTTTGGTAGCATGCGATTAAACTTGCATTAAACTCCTAAACAGACTTGGAGCGAATTATCGCTTGGTCTGAACTAACCACAGAATTTTGAAAAGGTTTAAACAACACCTTTTTTCAAACAGAACTGGAATATAAATGTAGATCTCGTGCTTACAAACCAACCACAACTCGTTGCAGTGAACAGTCAAAAACAGCACTTAAAGTGACAGTCATATTCAAATTAAAACTTAGCAGTCAAAGAGAATATGATTGATTTAACTCGAAGTTGGCTCATAACTTCTCACTGGCGTAACAATTTAAATGTCGGCAGCAATAACGTAGCCTAATAAAGAGACCCTGAGAAACAGAAACACACTCTGTCTTATAATAGAAAAACTTCAGTTTAAATACCCTCAAACCTGATTCGCATTCCGGCAAGTAAACGGAAAGAAGAAGTGATAGTGAAGCTCAAATTATAAATAATTGGTTACATTATAAGGTATTTCTCCCACCTTCTTAGCGTCCCTTCATGGTGTAGCGGTTCTGCACGCTGGGCAGGTATTCCAGAGGTCCGTGGTTCGATTCCCTGCGAAGGCATTTGCTCATTTCCATCTTGCCTGCTTCCAAAAATACCTAATGTCTCTACACTGGCGCCCGAACTAAAAAGGCTGTTGGCTGATGGTTCTCCACACCCAAGATTTGGCAACTGGGTTCCCTAAAAATCCCAGTCCCCCTTTAAAAGGGGAGTACATAAGGTATTTATCCCACCTTCCTAGCGTTCCTTCGTGGTGTGGTGATCTGCACGCTGGGCCGGTATTCCAGAAGTTCGTGGTTCGGTGTTTGCTCATTTTTCCTCTTGCCTGCTTCAAAAAATACTTAATGTCTCTATAAAATAATAACCTTACAAGTCGTTTGAGAAGACATAAATATGTTTTCTTACCATATTCCAGAATTATCTAATCTTTAGAAATTAAGTGAAAATTTTATACTTACGGCATTTCCCAGCCTCCACCGCCTCCACCCTTCATAGCTCCTTTTCCTCCACTATCACCGTCTCCATCGTTGCCAGACTGTTCCTTCTTCTTGAAAATTGGAATGGGCAATGGAAATGGAATAATGGCAGTCATGCCTTTTGATTTGATGCCGAAAGTAATGCCCTTGCTTTCCCAACCACCTCCATCGTCCCAACCCATCATTTGAGCCATCTTCTTGTATATGTTGGCTTGTCCCGCCATGACAAGAACAGACAGGATTAGAATTATACTTGTTGAGACGGATTGCGAATTTCTTCTGACAGACATGTTGAGTGGGACTGTTCACGTCCCTGCAATAGATAAAAATACGTACATTAAAAACAGCTGATATTTTTTACGTTATATGAATTATATTAAGGATTCAGAGACAAACTGATAATTTGTTTATTATTACAATTATCCGAGATGACAATTATCCGAGATGACAATTATCCGAGATGGCCAAGTGGCATACTAGCGTAACAGCGATATAGCAACGGAATGTGCGCTGGTTAGCGAAAACACGCTCTGAATAAACTCAGAGATTCATCCGTTTAAATACTCACTTCACTTAAATTAAAAATTACATCCTGGCGAGGAAATGCGAGGGGAAGTTGAGGAGTTCAGGAAAGGTATCAAACTTAAGCTAATTTGTTATGCAAAGTAAGCGAAACTCTACAATCTTTGCCTTTTATTTTAAATCTACATAGGTAAGCCGAAAAGTGCCAGCTCCCAGTAAATAGCTATTTCGATCACACATCAATATCGTTTCTGATTCGTCTTTTCATTTTCAATTTGAATGGCTCGAGGAATCCTTTTTTTCTAATTGAATCTTTCCAATACTATTTAATAAATTAAAATAAAAATTTTGTGTTTTTGAACAAGCAGTTCTTCTAGAAGGCTAACACATCAAGCTCCTTCTGGGCATTAACGAATGCAGCCTCTTTGATCCCACATTTTCAGAAAATCCACTATGGGCTTAAACACCATTTAAACACAATTCCATGCCAATAGCATAGATCTTAGTATAACAATTGAATACTTATAATTAAAGAAGTCTTACAATCATAAGTAGGAAGAGAGTGAAGGTAGTCTATTATATGGGGTTTGACCACATTTATACTGGCCGTGTGCACGATCAGAAAACAGCTGACAGATTAGAATTTTTTAAATAAAATAAAAATAGAACTTCACTTACTAAATATTTATAAAAATGTCCACAAACAATAATAAAAATAATACGTCAAAGGAAAAAATTTCGAACTTGTATTTATTTTCTATCTTAAATATAAAGTTTAGTACCTATCAGATATTTTGATTGGTTACGCTTTGTAGTTCAAATATGTCGACAGCTATGCATTAAATTCCTAGACTGAGATTTCTTTCAAATAATTCTAACATATTTATTAAATTAATTTATTTTAACGAAAAAAAAAAGAGCAATTATGGAAACTTGCAACAGCCTAGGCTGTTGTAAATGAACAAAAATAACAACCTAGGCTCTTTTTTTATTTATTAAATTTTTCTTCGACGCATAAATAAAAATGCATATATTTGTATGTAAATAATTATAAACTTCCTGATTTCTAACTGTAGCTTGATGGCGTTCCGATTCTGATAAAGATTCTATCCTTGCAAAGGAATTCCTAAAAATAGTCTTCATCACGATCAGTCAGTTTGTTTTCTTAATCATTTTTAATAATGAAAAAAATTGTTCGCGTATTCACAAACAAAGCGATTAAAATTACTACACAACCTAAATTCAAAATATGTAATAACTGAAATGCTTCAAAATTTAGTATTTAATAATTTAAAATACTTCAATTTCTAATAATTAGAAATAATTATTTATTCAAAATATTTCAGAACTTAATAATACGAAGCCTTCCACAACCCTAAAATAATTTATTTTTACAACTTTTAGGCGTTAATAATTTTCATTGTTATTTACAAAACTCCAGTTGTCTATCAAATAAAAGATAAGATTTTTAAACTTTTGAAGACACGTTTTTAACTCGTAACTTAACTAAACGTCAGAGGGGAATGATTATTAATTAAAAATCAAAAACTAAAAATAATTGCAACGAAATATACTTTCGATATAATTTAATAAAACTGATAATTTATTAACCAAAGTAAATTTTATAGTTTTAATAATGATTCATTTCCAGAAATACCTAAATGAAATTTCAAAAGGAAAATATATCAGGTAATAAGAACAAAATGCAAATATTTAAGCTAAGGAGAACAACATTTTTAAAGAATATTAACTTATCTTCTGATTAAGATTAAAATAACAATCTAATACGCCGTAAAATCATAAACATTACTTATTTTAAAGCAAAATTCCAACCGGTTAGTGATAGTGGTAACGGTGATTGCCGCCTAGTCGGTATATTGGTTAGTGAGACTGACTGCCGTGCCGTAGGGCCTGGTTCGAATCCCGGAGAAGGCATGAATGTTTGTAAATGCATAGTGTCTGTGCGACATGACGGCACTCTAAATATTCGGCCAGCAGGACGTCCTCTCGAGAGGTTGTTGGTAGAAGAAGAGGGATGGGAGACCCTCAGACACGTATCCTCTGGGGTGCTTTCTCTCAAATTTGGGGAAGGGGGGCGGAACGGATCTAAAATCGGGCTGTAACCTATGTGGTGCTCAAGGCTCTTGCTAACGACTGGCTTCTTTGACTCCCTGCCACGATGAATGTCGTGAGCTTGTGATGACCATTGTCAGACAGGTGAGAGGGGTAACAACAACAACAAAATAAAAATGTCTATTACATTTAAGAAAACGCTTTAGAAATGCAGACATAAAAATATTACCTATAATTCACAAAAGTGTATTAAAATGTTAGGAGTATAATCTCAGCATGTACGGTATTTTTCCCCTTCTTTCTGCATGCCTTCGTGGTGTAATGGTAGCACTCTTGCGCGTGTTCGAGAGATCCAAGTTCGAGTCACGGCGAGGGCATTGATCATTTTTTTATATCTTCTGCTTCAAAGGAACATAATGACTATACAACATTTTATTCTATAGATTATGGAGCAATAATTAAAAAAGAAAAGAAAACCGCTGCTTCTGAGAGAAACCAATTTTTAATTTGGATGCATTCCTCAACAAAATTGAGATACTTATACAAATAGCTGTGGATACTTGCAAAATACTTCTATTCTGGATTTCTTTTTGCTGCTGAGAATTACTTCTTCAAATGTTTCTGTTTTAATAAATATTTTCAATGAAATAGTAAATTATAGATGACACCAGTAAATAAATGAAACATTTAGATATAAAACGTTTTAACTTTATATAAATTCTTGATCTAATAAACACAATATTTCAAACCGAAATTCAAATTGCTAAGCGAACTATAAAGGGTCTCCAATACAATCTTGATAAAATTTTAAATAAATCTGTCACTAAAAAATTCAATACGAAATAATTTACCTTTCCTTGTTGGTATTTAAAAGTCGTAAAAAATACAGTTTTCTTAGATATTTCTGCAAATAAACGTTTTGCTCAAACTGACGGCTGACACTGGATCTCAGCAAAGACCAATGAGATGTAACGAATCGTGGACTCATATATATATACCTCTCAATTTATGACAGTAGAACCTCTAAAATCGAACTATTTCTCCCTTAATGTATGGTCACACGCCAGTAGACTTGGCACTGTGGTCGTGTACCCAATCACTCATCTTCCTTGTAAACAAGAAATGTAAACATTTTCCTTCCTAGAGAATGCTACAAGTTGTAGTTTGAGAGACACATTTGGCCGATGACTTGAAGATAATTTCATTAAAGGCAATTTACATCGAGCACGAAATCTTCACAACATAATTTTCCTTTCGTTTGGAGGAAGGGTTTTTTAACCTTGCTTCTTGAAATCTGAGGAAATGTTGATGTTTCTATTTTCAACTCATGATAGATTTCAGAAAAATTTGCAATCGGAGTACAGCTATATACCAAGGGGGGGGGGCTGAATATCATTTCAGTAGGATACGCATGCTAAAACTTTTAAATATTAAACAGTCGCTATCAGATTTATTAACAACCGCAACTAACATTTCTTGTACCTGATTAAAAGTAGCAAAACAGCTTTTTAATGGGAAGAAAATGTTTCAAAAAATTTTACTAGGATATAGAATTTTATAATTAATGTGGTTATTTGTACAAATATAAATAAATAATTCTCGTTATTCTTGTGCTGTATTCAGGATAGTATATTTCTTCGATATACGAATTTTAAACGTATAGGAATACTGAACATTCTTTCTTCATACAGAAAAGCGAGAATGTTCTTCTTGTTTCCATTTTTTCCTCAATTATAATTATAATTTTAAACTTATTTTAATAGGAGTAAGCTGAAGAAAAGTTATAGGGCTGTTAGGAATTAATTCGAGTAGAAAACAGGAAAAATCAACGATGTCTACACCACATCGGTATTCCAGCTCTGTATCTTCCGATTAATAGCCGGACATGCTTACAATTATACCTTGAAGATGTGCGACGAAGAAGGAAAAAATTCCTTATATTCTCATCCACTTGAAGAACGACTGAGGAGGAAGGGGAGCAAGTGGCCAAATATAGATGGAGACAAGTTGTGTTCACCACATTTTAGTTAGACACCCCTATAGAGCTATTTAGAATTTTCTAAAGCTACAAAACACGGAAAAACAGCCATATTTTCAGCGTAATTCAAGAGTCGGACCTTTCAGTTACCAGCCGGGCATGCTACCACTTACACCGTGAATGCACGCAATGAAGAAGTAGATAATTCCTTATAAGAGAAATTGCAGAGGTTTCTAAAATAATGTAAAAGTCGTTTCGTTTGTATGAAGAAGAATGCAGTGACTTGGAAGATGGAGTTGGGACTGACGGGAAGAAGAAGGTTGGGGACATTTGAGAGTAGGATTTTGCTTTGCATACTTGGTAGGGACAATGCGAATGGATTGTGGAGAAGAAGATCTAATTTAGAGCTGTATAAGATCTATAGATGATATGATGTATTAAAATTCTTCAAACTACACAGCCTCAAATGGGCTAGTCATATGGAATCAGAATGGATGAAGATCGGTATTGTAAGAAAATTTAATCTTCCTGGCAAAGCCCATGGGTACCAGACCTCGGGGTAGACCCCAATGAGATGCATCGATTATGTTGAAAATGACCTAAGCATTCTAAAGGAAAAAAAACTGGAAAACAGTTGCCAAAAGCAGTGATGCCTGGAGAAGACCTCTGAAGAAGGTCAAGGCTCACCCTGAGCTGTCTAGCCAATGAAGACGAAGAAAATATCGTAGAAGAGAAATCATTTTGATTTCGCTTTCCCACCGGCTGTCCGATAGCTGCTTCAATGTTTATTTCATAAAAGAATTACCCAACACTTTGATGAAGAAGCAGAAAAATCACATATTTTTCGGACAGTTGCAAGATATATTCATAACGTCTACTATGCTTTTTGTGAAGTCACTAATTAACTTAATATACGAGAAGCATGCATTAAGCATAAAATGTTCTAGGATTTGTTCTTAAAGGTAAACATTGAAGTCCATTCCTTTTCTGTCTGTTGAACTAGGTCTGACTTTTAATATTCGGTATGGCAATATTACATTTTCCTAAATTTTGAGTCACTGTTTCATATAGACAACAATCTGACGTCATTTGTTTAAAAAAATACTAAAAAACGTTCTCCAGTTTTAATTGCACTATTTCTGAAAACAAAGAGGTGTATATTATTTGTCATTTGTTCTATCTTACTTCCATCTGGTGTGTATTCTAAGATAATTGAAGAATGTTTAGCTTTTCAAATAGATGTCACAGATTTTCTCTTTATTGCACAGATGACGTATTTCATTTTGACTGCCTTTTCTAAAATAATATACTCAATCTTTCTCCTGTAGAGCTCTTTTTATATGTGTGTTCGAAACTGAATCAAACTTAGCAAGCAGTTCTACTAATTCACAAAAGTTTCCATCATTTTTTTTGACACAGCCTATCCGATGATCCTCCAAGGACTGAATGTTCATCCCCTTTCGAGGAATTTACTACTTCAGTTAATATAAAAAAACAATGGGGCAATATTTCTTTTCCCTTTTATATAATGCTGTGTGCGAGACTCATTAGAATTCTGGTTTTTAGGATTTTTCTTTAATTCATTCAATATTAAGAAAATTTTTAAATGTATTAATCTTACCTCGTGCCTTTCTGAAGTTTTTCGAGTCATTAAATCTTATTACTTTTGTTGTTACTTTTTTCTTTTGAAGAGGATTCATTTCTAATATTTCTAACAATGCTTGTGATTTATTGTCAATATTTTGCCATTTTGCTGAGTCTTCTAAATTTGCAATCTCTAGTTGCTCGGATCATCTAACGGTCCCCCAGGATCTGAATAATTTATTAATTCTGAATGAATTTTATCAGTAGTAACACTGCCATTAAATTCCGTTGATGAGCGTAACTCAGACCTGTCATCTTTAATAATCTTCTCTATACTCTTTAATAATCCATCAAATTTTGTAATTTAATTGCTACTCAAATCGCGTACAATCCTCTTGAGAAACTCATAAAGTGCGCATGATTATCACTTCCTTGTTATTAAGTAAAGGTAGTATTATAATCGCAAAAAATTTCTGTGTTCAGATCTCAACGGAAATATCCATTCTGAGTCTTCCCGAATTTATTTTGACAATTTTTTTTCATAATGTCCGTACCTACGGACAGAACAAAGAACTTCATGTTCTTAAAAGGATTGTAAAATGGATTTTTTCCGTGACGTCTGTACGTACGTATGTACCTATGTACGCATGTATCTACGTATGTGCGTATGTACGCATAACCCAAAAACGTATAGCATAGAACGCTGAAATTTTGTATATGGGACTGCTTTAACATCTATTTTTCTATTTCTCTTTTATATTGCAATCGACGGTACCAAAAGTATATATATGTATATTATATATATATATTTTGGTATATGTGTGTCTGTGTGCACTTTTCGTACAGATATATTGGCTTGGTTTTTTTTTAGTTTATTATGGCAAAGCACACTAGGGCTATCTGCCGACTAGCAGTAACGCCTTCGTGAAGGACTTTCTAAGGGAAACTGGCTCGTGTACACTTTACACATGGAGAAAACAACAAAAACGCTCCTGCAGCCAGCCCGTCCACAGCCCTTACAGCTCGACCACTGGTGCGCCACATATATATTGGTACTTATGTGCTTTGGCACTTATATTTAACTATATATATATATATATATATCCGGGTAAAAATTCCTTACCCGGCCTTTATTTTAGCAAAGTTTACTTACTATACTTACAATTTCTTACTTATTTATATACTTACAGAAGTGTTTTAAATAACGAAAATATTCATGTTTAAATTTTAAAAAATAATAAAAAAATTCATAAATTGTAACTTTTACAGTGCGATCTCGCGTTTATACCCACGTTTTATACTCGCTATTTAAAAATTAAATTATAAAAAGTTTGACACCTGTACGACAAAAATTGACCAAAGTATTCAATTGCGAAATTTGCAGTTTTTGATGTCATTTTCTACTTGCCTTGAAGAGTCGGTTAATTAAGCTAGAATAATTCAAGTAAATACGTTTAAATGAAGTACATCAAAAAAAGTGTAACTTAATATTGTGTAACTTAATTAGGCGTGAAAAGGAAATCGTGTTGTGTCTACATGACATTTTTAGTAGCAAATTCGTGTGCAGATTTGTGTGTCAGATTTTGAGAATAGGCCACACTCTTTTTTATTTTATTAATTTATTTTATACTATGATTTAAAAATAAAAGTATGTTAATATGAATAAGTATTTTTGTAACTATCTAATATGCAAATAATATTACGCTTTTGACCACATTCATTAACTTTAGCAAAATCTCACAGTATTAAGATTAAACAATTAAAAATTTTTAAAAGTAAGATTTCAGAAATCTTGAATTAGAAAACCTAGCGGCTGAATATTTGATTAAAGATATGAATAAAAATTCTTTAAGCTGAAAACATCAAAGCGAAATAAAATGCCAGTTTTGAGAAACTTATGGAGGGCATAAAAACCGGTATAGATGAAATATAGTTGAAATTCTAAGTTTCCTTTTTAAAGACTTGGAAGAATGTCAGTTGATTGAACATGGTTTTAATTTTAGCGAGTTCAAAACCTGAATAATTTTTTAGGGTAAGTTTTCATTTAAGAATCTTGACACAAGTTCCATAGCGGTTTTAATTATAAGGATTTAACTTCCATCAAACTTGTTACTAAAATAAAATATAGCACGACTTATTCCATCCCTTCGTAATCAACACCAACTCTTCACCTTTGTGAACCCATTAAAAAGAATTTCAGTCTAGTGAGCCTTTTTAACATTTGAATTACATACATTTAATCACAGATTACTAGATTAATACATATATAACACATTTAATTACAAGTTACATTTAAATTTAACATAACAGACAAAGACATATCACACGGATAAGAATTCAGTTATGTCTTCCTCTGTCACATTGTTACTTCTTCTTGCTGTCCACTTGTAAGGTATTTTATTTTAATTAACCAATTTTTTACG